GCCAAGACCAAGGGGAGGCAAATAAAGTGCAAATGTGTCATTCATGAATTCAGCCAAACTGTTTTACATTGTTTTTTCATTGGGACTGTTATGTAGTTATTGGATTTTTAGACAATGACTTCACTTAATAGATATGAACTCTATTCAAAACAGTAGAGTCAACAGAGTCATCCTGACTGGAAACAAGTTAACCCATCCACTTTTGAATTCTCTCATTTCCCCAGGCTAATTAGAGGAACCACCCAGTTCCTAGGGGGCAATAAGTCATTCATTGAATGCAATATATGCTTGAATATTGTTATCTAGCAGTGTTTTAAATCTTGTTAAAATTCTGTTAAGATCAACAGCTTTTGGGATCTACAGGAACTGAAATAATTGCGGATGAGCTTTTGAAGTATTTCAGAGGTCTCTAGAGGTCACTAGGAGACACCCGTAGACACCAGCTAGAGGGTAAGGTGTCGCCCATTCTAGGTGGATTACAGGAAGGTATAACCACCAATTAGATAATGAGGACTCCTTTTACAACCACATGCAGCTATAATCTAGCTCTTAGAGCCAGAAGGGTGTTAACCCTGTTAAACTTATACAAGTTAAACACCTTCTGGCTTTGAGCAGAGGCTCTGTAATGTCCTATCTGCATCAATTGCTAAGAATATAGATCACATCGGCCAGGAAAGAGTGGATCCTGTTACTCTGGTTAATGACCCTTGCTCCAGGAAGTCATAGATACTCTGGATTTTCCTCCTGAAGATTGTCATCACAACGTTTTTAATCCCAAAAGGTGTTAAATCCTTCCCTGAAAAATATGGTATTATTTGGCATGATGCCTGGTCCTTGGATAGCTAGAAGAATTAATCAGAGAAATTACAAGAATGATTGATTATACTGATCTCCGTGTTCTAGGAACCCCTATAGAGAAGCAGGATGGGAAACCAAACAGGAATTAGAATCAATGTTAATTAAACTTTACCATAGTCAAATTTGTTGCCTTTTAGAATTGAAGTGATCATTTAATGAAAGGAAGAAGAAAAAAAGTGTGAGGGAAAGCACTCCTCCCAAAGTGCTTGGAGCCAAGCAAAATACTCCCTTCTCCTCCAAGAATTTCTGATACTTAGCTTCCTGCTTCTTGAAATTTCAACCCTGATTCAAAGGCCATCTTCTGAAAACTGGATTGATATTATTCATCAGTAATTTGTGGCAATTTTCATTGAATATTACTAGACAATTCACAGACTGAGTCAAAGTGCTGATATTACCAGATTACCAAGTAGAGTCATTTATGATGAAATAATTGAGTAATTTGGAGTTGTACTGTGGGGAGCTGACTAGTCGTTGCATGGTGAGGTTGTGTTTGTTGTCCTGAGGCGTTCTAAGTCTCACCACACTCACGCAACGCTTCGCTTGGACACTGGTGGTCATGTAGGTGCAGTTCAACGCTTCCCCCGGTCCTAACTAACTCTTTCCCCTCCCATCTCTCATCAGATTGGTCCAAGGGCAAAGGCAGTCGTAACTTCTTCTTTTTTCCCTGTCTAATTTCAAAGTTCATAGTTTTTACGCTACACGTTTTTCCCTGGAAACCTAATTTGAACCAAATCTTGGAGTTGAGAAGTAGTTCAGTCCATGCCAACGGCTCTCTGGGATTGCGTTTTACCATTAGTGAATGAACTTTGACAGTCAATTCACAACGGTGATGATCACAAAGCGTGTAAGACAGCAAGATTAACACAAGATTGATTGCGTTTCTAGGCAGGCAATAGGGGTCACGGGCACCTTTTTTTTGTATTGTAAAAAAAAAATTATATTTTAGTCACTACCACAAGAAAGAATTCAATCTCTGGCTTATTAAAGCAAAATATTTTGATACAAAATGAATGGCAATTGTATTTTAAGAATATATTTTCAACTTTTAAATGTAATTTTCAGGGTCATCTTTTGAGTTAAGAGTACAGCTTTATGAAAAGTGGAAAGTCAGTGCACTACACTACTATATTCATATTCATACTTATATTCATAAAGTTATAAATGCGGTAATTTCAATATTTTGACATGGAATGAAAGAAAATTATGTTTTAAAATGCAGTTTGGGGTCAGCTCTTTTAAGTGCTACACTCAGCTATTAAGCATTGGAATGTTGGTGTATTACTTTTAAGTTTGTTTTTAACAACACAAAGAATGAAATAAATCTATTCTGGTTCTTGTCAAATTAATGGGGTTTCTTTATAAACACAAGAATAGGGATAACAAAAGCTAGAGGGAAAGGGACAATTACATTGGCTATACCATGCATGGTCAAACAAACTATGTCAAGTCATTATGCAAGTAATTGAAATAATGGGCTTTCCAGGGTAATCTTTCCCTCTTCACTAAAATATAGCCTTTTCACTTAGTTTTCTTGTTGGAAAGTACGACAAAATAATGCATGGTCACCCCCCTTCCAACCCCATGAACAAAAAAGCAGAGCAGTGTTTCCAAGAACTTTCCCTCCTTGTGCACTGCAGGAATGCCAAACCTATTGTGAATAGATTACTGGTAATAAGTAGAAATTAGATGTAACACTCCCATTGCGTCCCTTAAAGTATGAACTCAGCAACAATTGTATCATCTTTCTTTCTTTTGTCTCTTCATCTCTCTTTAGTTTGTAATTTTTAAGCTGATGGGGCTCAGTACCAATTTGTGGTGGGTTGAATGGATGATAGCAAGGGGTGGTTATGGTCTAGGGCTGGTGTGGGCCTCCTGCCTGTGTTGGTAGGCCCCATACCAATTCATCACACACATGATGGTATTTCTTGGACCGCTGCTTGGATCATCTTCACGTGGGAGACTTCTTATAATGCATTTTACTATTCAACTGATATCATATAGCTGGACAGTTATGATTATCACAGTTAAGATTGAAATTGAAAAAGTATACAATAAAAGTGTAATAATTCAGTCTACAATACAGACCACATATAAAGAGAAAGTAGTTCTTTATTTTCAATTCATGATATACTTTCTTGAAAATTGCATTTCTGGTCTGTAACACTAACATTTTTTTTCCTTTTTTTTATCTTCTTCATATAACACATCCTATTTGGACATAAAGGCCTTTTGTGACATTTGATCTAAAGCTGGAAATGTACAGCTTTTGAAGATACATTGCTTAACACGTTATTAAAGGGTATAGTGTAAAAAAAAAAACAACGTTACAGATATCCAAACTGCTCCTCCAAACATGTGTAAACGGTGTCAAAATGTGTAGTTTTGGGATGCCAGACTCCCCTGTGGGTTTCTTTAGATTTACCAATACCCAAAAGAGTCAACTCTCGGATCCTCGCACATCAGTGATGAGTCCCAAATATCAAATCCATGGGGGTCACTTCTACACAACCAGCTTTCCTCCTAATCCTTTATAGAAGTCAACCAAAGGGACATGTGGTTTCGACCACCGAGGAATATGAAGAAAAAAGGAAAGAGGGATAGGAGGAATTGAGAGTTCTGCCAACCTCCTAAACTAATTTTGGAAAAGTGGTATCTATTTCAGAAACGATGAGGCGGGATACTATTTTCGATAGAAGATTGATGAAAAATGTTATATGTCGCCCAGGAACTAAATCTGTTCCGCATTGGCGGGGCTGTTTACTTGTTTGTGCACCCAAAAAAACTTTCGGAAATGATACAAATTGAGTTAGAAGCGTCCCAAACCCTCCGATGAAAAGAGAATCTCTTGATAGCGAGATGGATTTGTAGAAAATCAAAGACTTGTATTGATGATATGTGATCGTTTAGTAATTGGATTGGGATTAAGATTCATCTGATTGAATGATGAAATGAATAAAGCTATCTTTATGTAGGTTAATTGGATGTACAGGAGATGGATTGATAAGCATGAGAGGAACTAAAATGATCCATTTCACTTGACCTGCAATCATAAGGCTCATCATGTGAGGGATGGATGGATTAATATGGTTCTTATCTGTCTAATACTTGTGTGTCGTTTGATGAGTAGAAGAGACAATTATTTGTTCCTCTTCAACATAACTTCTGTATTTTCAGGATTAATTAGTATGCCTGTAGATAATGATGGGCTTCAGATCTTGTTTATAGGCAGCATTCAGGCTCTATATGTGATTTTTAATGAACCAACAAAATTATTATAAATCATCTCAAACTTGACTACAGATAGAGGCTTTTGTCTTTTGAGGATTTAACATAATATACTATTTTGAAATGAACCCTTTTGGTTCGCTGGTGGGATTGTACAACTGGTGTGAGCATATTATTGGCATTTATTTTGATATTTGAAAAACACTGATTTACAGACTACTAGATAATTTAAATTAAGTGACATCATTAAAATCTCTTATTGGGGAAAACAAAGATAATTCAGGATAATTGTGTATTTAAAAGTGGCATTCAAGATTTTACTTAGAGAAGCACAATGATATATAACAGAGCACTTCTGCATTGAGAAGTTTTCATTTTCTATCAGTTATATACCTCAGACATATAAAATCCTAATTCAATTGCTTATAATTTATTGCAGTGGTTGATGAGACAATGCAAATGATTTGCATTTTTGGCACAAAAGTTCTATTGTTACTAATTTACCCTTTTTCCCCTTTTTGTTCTTCTTTATAAAAAAAAAAATCTCTATCTTGCAAAGGTAAAGCATACTTTGTACCCTAACCTACGTAAGAGTTTAAGAGTTTGTACAAGTCTACACCTTCAAAAAGCCAAGTAGTAATTTATTCAAAGATATTCTTTTAACCCTTTTTCCCCTTTTTGTTCTTCTTTATAAACAAAAAATCTCTATCTTGCAAAGGAAAAGCATACTTTGTACCCTAACCTACATAAGAGTTTAAGAGTTTGTACAAGTCTACACCTTCAAAAAGCCAAGTAGTAATTTATTCAATGATATTCTTTTAACCATGTAAATACTTTCAACAGAATATATTGTATGAAATAGATATCAGATTATGTTTCTGGTAACAAGGGGGTTAAGAGGGATGGAAACTTACCATAGGCTGATCTACAGAAGTGATCCTGTGGATGTGAAGGTTGACAGCTACAGGAGATACTATCTTGAACCAAACAGACCAACATGGCTACCAGGAGGCACACCAATACTGAAAGATGCATCTTGAAGATTGTACAATTATCCACTCCAACAGAGATTAAATACTTCACCAACTCAATATCACTAACTTGTTCAAGTTGAGAACCACTTTACAATGCTCTGCTTCCTTGTTCTGTATCTCCTTTTCAAGGCAACACTCAAGAAAAGCTTCTCCCTCTTGAGTTAGAAAGAATCCTTAGAATCAGACCATAAACAAAAGAGTCTAAATCAGCTCTTCAATGGTAAAAAGCCTTTTTTTTCTCCTAAACCTGACAGGTTTTGATCCAACTTTTCAAAAGCACAGCCAATAAAGTATTCAGAAAAGAAGCCAGCAATGATACAAACAAATATCCTCTTCTTTTATATATTCACCTAACAGAGTGTGACAGAGAGAGAAAACACGTCCGAAGAGAGACAGTCAGTCGAGCAGTGGCATGTTCGCTGCTATTGTGATGCAACTGATACTAGTTGACTTGTAGCGGGGATGTCATATACACTTGTAAAGTTAGAGGGGAAAAAATAGGAGTGAGCTGGTTGACATGTATGAGTGACTCACACGTTTGGACGGAGAGGGGAAGCTAGCTTTGTATTGGTTGAAGTGAGACTAACCTCCGAGCTACCACTTGATGGCACTCTATAGGGTGTGATGATCGACCACCAGCTATGCATGTACACGATTATTTAATTGAGAGGTGATAGGCATGATTATATTAAAAAAATCAGGAATGTTTCATTAATAGTTTGGTGCCATTTTTGGCAATATAGGCTGATTGATTTATTGATTGGTTTTTATTTTACCTAACTGATATGAAGACAAGAGTATGCATGTAGACAAACATCTAGTGGAAATGGAACTTTTACAAATAAGGCCCCTTGAATATGACTTAAAATTAGTCCTCTTATCATTGGTAAGTGATGGTTGAAGGCTTACCAGATGACGTGACTTTTTAGGAGTGTTTCATGTATTGGAAATCATATAGTAATTATCTATTTTCATGAAAGCAAGGGTATGCTTGTAGATAAGCAGCCAATGGAGATGCACGTTTAAGTTCTATCGAGTAGACTTGGTTATTAAGGATGAATGCCTTACCAAAGGATAGTGCATCAATTTGGATTTGAACCTAAGACCTCCTCCCTACAAGACCACTGCTCTACCTTGTTAGCAATCATACATTTGTTGGTTTATAGTAATCAGACTAAAGCGCTTACTATTTTTCCTATGAAGGTGGTAGAAGAAAATTACCCTAGAATAAACTTTATTTTGCCATATTTCAGGTGATTTTAGAATAAATGTGGTTGACTTTGAAAGTAAATATCTTGTTTCCATATTGTTCATATGTCCCTTTTCCTTGTTTTTCTCTTCTGGTTGCCTGTTCACCTCTCTGTATCTCTCTATGTCTCAGTTGGGAATTATGTATGACTTTGAACCTGCACCCCACTTTCTTTGATGTTGCCCTCACTTTCTTTGATTTTGCCCTCTGTACCAAGTGTTTGATTTCAGAACACTTCAAAATATTTGTAGTTTATGGTGAATTATGGAGCTATTTCCCTTCCAGGCAGTCACACACGTAGGTAATAAAATATGACCTGCATTTTTTTGCTAGCTTTGATGGAAGCATTGCTATAAAAAGGCACAGAGACCCTGTAAGATGGGAGGTGGGGACAGAGAGGAAGAGAGAAGAGAGAGAGAGAGAGAGAGAGAGAGAGAGAGAGAGAGAGAAGGGATGGTGAAATCAACTTTGTTTTTTATGTCTCATTTATTGAGATAAAAATATTTTATTTTTTCTTAGTATAGTTTTGGTGATTTCAGACATTTAATCTGGGCGTAAAGTTGTCTGCATTCTTTGCATGCCAAATCCTAAATGAAATTCTAATTTTATGGTTACTCTCGAATTCCTAGCAAATTACTAAAAATGATGTTAATCTTTTTTTTTCTCTTGCTTTTTCATGGCTGAACTCTTCATGTTTGGTTCAAATCTCCCTGACAGTTTGCCAAATAGTAAAGTTAAAGTCTCTAAAAAAAATTCCAGACCAAGAAAATGTGTCAGCGTCAGTTTGGGAATATACTTGTAGATTCATGCCATTGCCGATGATTGCAAAAGCTGTGAAATTGTTATCAAAATAATTTTCTTGTTTTGTTCGTACATTAGCTGTATGGATTGACTGACATATAATCTGACAGGTTATATTGTCTCATTTTGGTTACCTTTTTTATCTACTTATGAAACATTTAAAAGGGGAAATAGGTTAAGACCTTATACTATAGTAACTAAAGATTTTGTTTATCACTGCAAATAAATATTATGATGTATCATCCTTTAATATCGTTCTTCACAGTCCCTCCAGTCAATTAAAAATAATAATAGAGTATTCTAAATCAGTATTAATGTATAATGAGATTCAGTAGAACTATACTTTATAAAATACAATCACAGGGTGGTCGACATTAATAATGTAAATATAAAACAACAAAGAATTCATTTGATTTATTTTTGAGAGTTATATTTGCTTTTTTGCTGTCGGAATAATCTTGATATAAATCTATTGACAATGTTTATCTTTTCTTTTTCTTTCCATGCATGGATGCCACTTCTTGACTCCTTCAACTTGCCCTACCTTCTGCAGGTGAGTTCATATACAGATTATATCTTTACTTTTCTCCAAGGTTATAAAATTTTGTCAAAATCCCATTTGTCACTGGATCTAACATACACGGAAAGGTGGGACATAGGTAGCGAACATAGGAAACATATTTTTATCAAACCTTCATCATTCTCACCTTCTACTTAAAGGGAATCGTGAGGCTACTTTAGTAGAGGTTTGAATTGTTTTATTGGGATTATGTGATTTTATATACAATGAATTAAACAGCATCATTTGTTCTCAAAAAGTACAACCTTTGTTCTTCTCGTGGTGCATAAATCAAGCCTTCTTGTAATTGTTTATTTTTGAAAGAAAATCTGGAAAGAAGATATTATCTTGCATACATCAAATGTGTGATATTTCTGCACATTATTCTGCTAACAATTTTTTACACTACCTCAAAGGCATGGTGAGAACAAAGATATGAATTAACTGGTAATGGGTGGTTACCACCAGTTTGAATAATATCTGTTTGGAACCAGAAGGATGTTAACTCTATGTAAGATGATAAGATTTAATGTACTTCTGGCTCCAAGCAGAGGGTATGGCTTTGGTGATATGGAAGAGCTTCAACGGCCGACTTTACTTTTGTGAGATCATCTTTTAGTATACCTTCATGGTATCTGATCTATTGGCTAAATCATGCTTGTTCTTGCATTCGTCTTTATGTTATCTTGGCAAAAGAACTATCTCTCACAGGATCTCATGTGATATATCCATGTGTTCAAGTTCATTTCTTTTAGATCATCACATTTTTTAGGAGTTTGATAATATTTTGGAATTGTGCTTCATATGTATGGCACTTCATATATGTATGGCACTGAAAGGGTTTGAGTTTAATGACCTTACCACATAGTCAGTATGAGTCATTCATAAAAAGATCATTTCACAATGTAAACATTTATGATTGTTGAATCCTGATGAGAATAATAGGATTTGGGGTTGTATTCACTGGGCTGACGTATTTAAATCCTCGTGGGCAGGTACTTTTTCAGAGAAAAGGTGCAGAGAGATAGAGAGAGAGGGGGGGGGGGATAGGGAACAATGAGATAAAGAAGAAAGAGAGAGATATTGTGAGAAAAGAAGAAGGGGAGTGAGAGAAAGATAGATTAATAGTAAGGGAACCTGAGATAGAGGGGGGGGGGGGGGCGAGAGAAAGAGAACAAATATTTTCCAGTTATGATTGTACTATTAAAGTAAAGTATGAGTTATCCAACATGATGTATTAACATAGCTGTCTGATTGATTAATGTAGAGTGGTGTGCATTCTGATTCTTCTTTATTTGTCTTTTGGGATGATCAATTCTATTTTGCTTCAACAAATAAACATATTTTCACATAAGTTGAACCTTACCCAGAACATAATTTTTGACATTTCCTAACACAGTGTCAACATGATCATTGGTTCTTGAAGTCAATTTCATGACACACTTGGCCAAAGTTCACTCTTTGTTTCATAACAAATATTTGCTTTCTTCAAAGGAAGTATGAAAGAATAGAGACTGGAGGGATGGTACCTAATATATGTTTGTCAAGGGGAAACATTAAGTGAAATTGTGTATTTCTTGGTGCATATAGCTGGTGTAAGAACAAAACAGTTATTTCCCAATGTTTTTTTAAATAGTCTTCTATATAATTTTTTTAAATTTGAAGTTGGGAAACAATGTCATTATTAAATAAGAAATTGATATTTTGAGTGAATAATTGGCTGTGAACACCAAGTACATGCATTTGTCAGGGGTGGATGAATGTTAAAAATCAACTCGGAACATGCCTGATTTCTATTTTTATTTAAATGCTATTATGCCATAACAATACAATCAGTTCTATCGACATAGGTGGAGAAATATTAGAAAATTAAGGAAGTCTTTGACCCTTTATGTATTGCCTTTAATATTTCCTTTTCAAAAACAAATGATTAGTCACTTTTAGCACATTCAGAAATGTTCTTCCAGACTCTCAAAAGACCTCAACAATCGAGTTTGTTTTCTTTCAGTGCCAACAACTTTATGGAAAAAATATATTTGCAAAGACACAAAACATGCATGACCTACCGAACAACAATTTATTGAGAAATTTTATCCCAAGGGCAAAATATTTCTGAGTAAAGAATTTTGTATGCATCACAAAAGAAGGAGGTCAATCCCCTTCATTTTTAAGCTATTTTTGTTATTCAAAATTTAGCATTTGAAAAAAACATAATCACAATAGATCTTTAAATCTAAGTTGATTTTGGAGGAATGTATTTCTTCAAATGAAGTACAGTGGTGAGTACACTGATTTCTCAAAATGTTTGATGTTTTTTCCTTCTTTCTTTTCTTCATTTTTTCATCATTACTGTTTTTACTTTTGAACCAACGTTTCCTATTTGAATACTGAGAAATTGACTTGAGATTTTTTTTTTTTTATTCATGTGACTTGAAAATACACTTAGTCATATTATGTTAGATATTAATGTGATGATGCAAGCTTAGGCTGAATTCCAAAGTGATGATCATAGTGTTGATGCATAAAAGTCATTGTGGAATGCAATCTTTGGAAATAATTGGAACAATTGGTAGATACTGTTATTATTTAGTTCTATCTTGAAAAAGATTTGTTTATATTCATTTATTTCTTATAAATGGTGTAATCATTTTTAGATAGGAATGAGTGTATTAAAACATAAATCATAAGACTAGGAGGCAAAAACTTGAACATAAAGCTTGTGTTGGGAGTGCCAAGAACAAATACAACCTAGCTGACTTCTAGCAAATATCCACAGTGACCGCAATAATCAAAAAATCTATAGATGTCTTTAAATGTATGCCATATTTGTGTGTTTTGATATAGAATTGAATACAATCATTTTGGCTAAATTTAACCAAA